TGTCAGGACAATAGCAATTATATATCAATGGATATGTAAATTACATACATTGCAAAGCAGTTTTCATGCCTGGTTATGTATAATGTGCACATGTTGTTGTCGTTTAAAAAACAAACTTGCTGTAGAGAATTAAGTTGAAAATCATTCATAGCAAAGAATCTGTGCCATGCAGGGGGTTGAATGGGTGAGTGGAAGAAAAAATGATGGCTAATCCATTTCCAATGGATGCCTTCAGCATCAATATTATTTTTGTGGGGTGTTTTACCAATATGTAGATAGACATTTGTTTTATCAGCAGAACACTATGAAAAGAGAATCTTCATGCAATCGTGGATACTTATCACATCAAGGTTCCCTTTCTGCACTATTGTGTCATGGGGGTGATGCAGAAACATTCAATTTTAAATCAGAAACTTCCTAATTTGCACTTCTTGTACTGGCTGGGGCAACCCAGTTAGATAGACGGCATATAAACAATAAAATTCTTATTCTTATTAAAACAATGCATGATCTGAAATGCAATTATCTTTCAAAATCTGCAGTTTCTGAATCTTGTGATGCAGTTCTCCAGACAACGTATGCAAAAATGTATATATTTGGGGAAAGTCTGTATAACAATGAGAAACTTATTTTTAAAAATTCCAAATTGCCACAGAAATGTGAAGAACTGAATCTAAGGATGGAAAAATGAAACAAAGCCTATCTGGTAGATAGATTGATCCATCCCTAATGATACCTGATTCTTAATACAAACTTTACTAATCTTATGTTCTCAGATGCAGAGCATGAGGTAACTCGCATCAAATTATGTTTTCCATAGTTCAGGGTATTGTAGAAACAGCACTGGCGTCAGACATCCGTTTATTTTTATGTCTTTCCAAAGTAAATTTTATGCTTTCCACAATTAATTACTCAAGCACCTACTACTTTGTTGTTGTTGTTGGGGTGGGCATGAAAAATCTGTATTTACCCCAAAATAATGATTTAAAAAAATAAAAAAATAAACACTTTCTGTGAAACTACAGATTGAAACTATTTCACCAGAAAGGTTTGAAAAAAACAATGCAAGTTTCTAGAAACAGAAAGTAACGTCTTGCTAAAATGATCTTTGGAAGAATGAGTGAGTTACAAAACAGGAAAGGAGTCAGTTTAGCAGAGAGATTACATTTGCATGCATTGCCTGCTTCTCACTACCAGGGGGCAATAGTGTTTCAGAAATGATTATCACAATGAAAATTGTGTACTTGGTTCTAAGGACAATATTACCTAGCAACTGCCTAGAAGCCAAATTGTATTTATTTAGGTAGTAAATGGATTATGGGGTGACACATATGTTATTAAAGCATTTATTTACCAGGTTTCCCAGGATTTTACTGCAGCATGCAAAGTATCACTCCAGCTGCAGATTTTATTTTTTATTCTGTACGAAAACGAATCTCGACATTTTTTTTAAAAATGGATCATTTAGTTTGTGTGCTACCTTGGCTGTAACAGTGACCTCCATTACTTGTTTAATACCCTAACTTGCTTTGCTAAAGTACTATGAGTCAGAAAAGCTTATCTTTATGTGATGATAAAAGACTTCATAATCAGAACAGACCCCATGGTGTGTTAAGGAGGTTTCTGTACCCAAAGTTATAGCCCCGCTTCAATATTTACATGATTGATATGTCCCCTTTCCTCCACCATGTAGATGATGGAGTAAGTGTTGGGTAAAAGGTAAAGGTACCCCTGACCGTTAGGTCCAGTCATGGACAACTCTGGGGTTGCGCCGCTCATCTCGCTTTACTGGCCGAGGGAGTCGGCATTTGTCCGCAGACTGTTTTTCCAGGTCATGTGGCCAGCATGACTTAAGCCCCTTCTGGCGAACCAGAGCAGCACACGGAAACGCCGTTTACCTTCCTGCTGGAGCGGTACCTATTTATCTACTTGCACTTTGATGTGCTTTCGAACTGCTAGGTTGACAGGAGCAGGGACTGAGCAACGGGAGCTCACCCCGTTGCAGGGATTTGAACCGCTGACCTTCTGATCGGCAAGTCCTAGGCTCTGTGGTTTAACCCACAGCACCACCGCATCCCTTAAGTGTTGGGACCACCACATAAATTCCTAAAGGTGCAGAATCCCCCCCCCATTTTTGCTCCCCAGTTTGAGGAAGACAGATTCCACACATGGGACCTCTCTGCACTAGGGAGCATTCACATGTAAACCTTGCAGTTCACATGACCACCGTGGAAGGAACATAAGGTATACTGCTCACCTACAAAATGAATGCTGCAGGCAATGTATAATCATAAGAAGAGTTTGCTGGATTAGGCCAATGACCTCTCTAGGCCAGCATCCTGTTCTCACAGTGGCCAACCAGATGCCTATGGGAAGACCACAAGCAGAACCTGAGCACAACAGCTTTCCCCACCCCACACAGTTTTCAGCAACTGGTATTCCGCTGTCAAAACTCAGAAATCAACATGGAGGATAGGATACATCTCCTAAAATGGCGGCACTGATTCAAAGATTAACTGAATTATTATTTGAATCTTCTTATCCAAGTCAGTGATATTCTACATATAATCATGCACACACATAGACCTTACGTGGTCTCCCTCACACCTCCCCGTGGGTTTTTAAACCTGAAAAAAACCATAAGTGTTAAACCTCACTGCATGGAAAAGCTACTGGAGCAATCGTTACAGTATGGGTAACGATTACGATCGTGTGAAAGTAATAACGTAACATGCAGCACAATCTTTGTCTGCTCAGAAGCATGTACCATTGAATTCAGTGAGGCTTATTCCAAGGTAAAGTGGGTTTCATGATTGCAGCCTTAGGTGTCAGGCTGTCAGGGAACATGTCAAATACCAGTTTCAAACACCAGATGTCTGGCTGTAATGCTATTGATCTTAGCGCACTCCCATTTTCAGATTTAAGTAGCAGGGTTCATCCTTTGTCCCAATTGATGCTGATGCTTGTTGATTGCAAGGCAGCCTGTTGTGTCTGCAGTTAGGCAGCAATTTGTTGTTATCATCAGAGTTCTGTGTGCATCAGAGAGAAGACAAGAAATTCATTAGATTACAGGTCTGCAAGGTGAAAGAGCGATGCTAATGCCTCTCTAGTGAGATGCAAAGGAGTTGCTTCTGTCATTTCTCAGCATATTTCTCTCTCTGTGTGTAGGTAGGTGAATGAATGGATGTAAAGGCAGGCAGGCAGGCAGGCAGGGAGTTGCCAAAACCAAAAAATGTTGCAATCAAAAGTCAGCATCTGTTTGCTTACTGCAGAGAGCTAGTTTTGTGGTAGAAACATACAAATGTATCTTAAATAGAAGTTAAAGTTGTTGCTGTTGTTTCACTACTTGTCCTTCAATTTAAAATCACAAGCTGGGCTATAGCACTTAAAACACAATGCTAAAAGCCCTGTTCCGTACCCAATAAGCATGGGACGCCTTTGCCTGGCAGCACAGGGGCCCATAGATTGCAGCAAAATGCTGGGCAAGATTTTTGCTTAGTATCTTCTCTGTGTGATGCGCTCATAGGAAAAAGCTGTCCTTGTTGCAGAGGGGAAGGGAAGCCTATACAGTGGTACCTCGGGTTATATACGCTTCAGGTTACAGACTCCGCTAACCCAGAAATAGTACCTCGGGTTAAGAACTTTGCTTCAGGATGAGAACAGAAATCGTGCAGCCGCGGCGCAGCAGCAGCAGGAGGGCCCATTAGCTTAAGTGGTGCTTCAGGTTAAGAACAGTTTCAGGTTAAGAATGGACCTCCAGAACGAATTAAGTACTTAACCTGAGGTACCACTATATAAGGCTGCTTCCCCTGGAGCTCACAGTCATTTTGGTATGAGAACTTCCTTCCTGCCCACCTTCGGGTTAGAGCCTTCAGTGAGCAATTTTGGATTGTTGGTTGACAGGACTGGAAATGATTTTTTCTTTCTCAACCCGATTAGCACTTCGTTGGCGTTTTTCTCACATTTCCCTTCCTTTGTTAGGTGGAAGAGCGTTGTTTGTATGAGGGCGAAAATGGCATTGGGCAGGATCAACCTAGCCTGGGGGGGGGGCATAAGGGGTCTGAGAATTCAGTATCTGCCTGCTTGGAATCAGTGGCGAAGCTGCATGGGGGTGGAGAGCAGGCGGGGGCGTGACTGGCGCCCCCTGGGGGGCATGACACGTGCCTTGGGGGGAGTGGCGCAGCACCCGCAGAGGTGTGGTGCGCATTCTGGGGGCGTGATGTGCTGCCTGTGGGGTGTAGCATAGTGCTGCCGGGGGTGGTCTGTTCCCTCCGCACTCCCGTTGCTCTGCCAGTGCTTGGAATCTGCACCTGGTCCCCCAGTGAGACCTTGCTTGCTTGGTTTGCACCACGGTAAGGTTCAACACTGGCTGACTCCTGTCATACGGGTTTGGAGCGATCCAAACCCAGCAGATCCATTCCATCAACATGGGACTTGTGGAATGATGAACTGATCCTGGGACCCAATGCCATGCCAACCCTTGCCCTGTCTACTGCTATCAATCAAGGTTTGGCCTGATTTTATCCCATCACCGTTGTACAGTCTGCTTATTTTGCTGCTCTCATGGGCCACATAATGCACCTGCCTGGGCAAACAGTTTCAAACAACTTACAATCTCAGAATTAAGGTGGAACCTAAAAATATACATCTCAGGTGTCAAAAGTCAGGGTAAAGAGGTTTGCTATATGGTGAAGATGCCAGGAGGGAATCCAAAAGGTGTGCGCAGGTGAGAATTGTAGAATCTTCTCCACCAACCACACTTCACCTCCATGCATACACCTCCTTTCCCCAATGACTCTTCTTCCAGCTAGGTTCAGGCAAGAGAAGAGTTTAGTACCCCATGCCCACACATCCATTCTGCTAGTCGTGCAAACACACAAATTGCCCTCTGTCACTCCCACACCTCCAACTCTTGTATCTTCAGAAATGCTGCTACAGCTGTATCCTAGATTCAGGTAGGTAGCTGTGTTAGTCTGACACAGTTGAAATAAATAAAGAATTGTCCAGTAGCACCTTAGAGACCAACTAAGTTTGTTCTGGGTATAAGCTTTTCCCCGCCTTATAGCTTATACCCAGAACAAACTTAGTTGGTCTTTAAGGTGCTACTGGACCATTTTTTATTTATTTCAGCTGTATCCTAGGTGTGATGGACCCTGGGAAACATTAGATTCTCAGGGCAAATAGATATTTAATATAGATGGAGGGGTCCTGGAAATGGCAAATCCACGGCTGCCAGGGCAAATGTTACAGTCCATCAAGAACGCTCTACTTAGACACTAGTAAATATAACAAGCAAGGATGCATGCAATCTCTCAGTTCCAAGAGATTGCTTCCATGCTCAAGTTTACTTTGAGTCTACATGCCTCTTCTCCTAGTCCTTGCTCTAAAGGAGCTTTGGGGAGTTTCCAGACAGGCTTCTCATTGGGCATTCATGCCGATACATTCACACAAGCCTTACAAAGAGGTTGTACAATGTTACCTGTTTAGTGAACATTCATTATGACATCTACAAGTGGAGATTACACAACATTGCTAGCTAGTGGTTGTTATCCTGCACTTTCCAAATTTTTAATCAGACATTTTGCACTTACGAAAGGGATAAGATAGTTGTGCTGGAAAGTTTGGGATGCCAACCATATTTTGTGTGAATAAACAATCTCTCTGGAAGTGCCCTTGCACCACTATTAAGCAACAAAGGGGGGGGGAGGTGGAGAAAGCATCCAAATAAGAGCATGTCCATACAAACATACATACAAATGAAGTGGCCCTGACAATAATGATAGAGATTTGAAGGGGTCCAATTGCCTCAACAAAGGGATATGGCCCATATCCACCAGTGCAGTATATTATGGGGGTGTGGAGTTATATAGCATAGTAATCTATAGTATATTGGCACATTATATTGAATTGCATGTTTATACAGATTCATTATTGATAAATCATAGACTCTAAATATGAGGTCTGAATCATGATTTCATTGACAGAGTTCAGTCCTGGAATATATGAAGATATGCATCTCTGAGTATATGCAGAGTGTTTTTCTGTCACCTACATCCACCTCTCAAAACATCTTAACTAAGGCAGGACTCCCAAGGCAATTCAAAGGACAGCTTGAGCCCTGCTTCTGCTCTTTTCAAAATTAAGCACTTGTGTCATCCATATCCAGCACTGAGAGATATCATCTAGGATTCCTTGCCTAGAAGAAAGGGTGCATGTAGCATAAAAACTCAAACTGATTAAATCAGGCTTTGAACACGTATTCTCTTTTCTGCATATTTTGCTGCTCTGCCTTTCACTTGATTATTGAACATGCTGTGAGAGTGCAGCGTTACAGCTTTTTAATTATATTGATACATGAGACCTCAGCAATACAAGCATTTCAGTGTGTTGACAATCAGATTACAGAGGAAAGAAACCTCATTTATAAATAAATGAAAATGAGTTTTATCACTTGTGGAATTATAATTTCAATAGCCTTTACGCTGTCTCTCCACTTAGGATGCTTATAAAATTATTTTGCATCCTTTGGGTAACCAAGTATCTGTTTGCAAAACAATTAACCAGTGTTTAGCATGCTTGCAAAAAGACTCAGGAATGTTATACATATGAAAGAGTGAAGTGAAAATGTTGGCTCAATTCCATTGCCAAAAAGAACGGATGGGGTCAGGGCTTTTTTTTCAGCTGGAACTCACAGGAGCTGAGTTCTGGCACCTCTAAGGTAGGTGCCATTGCCATTCTAAAAGAATGAGGGGGGTGTTCATTGTGAATTACAGAACCTCTTTTTCTAGAAAAATAGCACTGGACAGGGCTGTCCAACAAGCGCTAACTGCATCATCCCTTCTCTACCTCTGTACCTTTTCTTGTGCAGTCTTAGCAGAAGTTCAGCCTTCATTCTCCCCTCCCTTTGTTTTCAAAGGAAATTGAGCAATTCCTGGGACAACACTCAGCTCAGTTGTGGACCACACATTTTGCACCCGAAAGGTTCCACATCCACCCTCTGACATCTCCAGTAAAAGGATCTCAGATATCAAATCTGGGGGGCCATCTTAGAAACTAGTGGGGAGTCAGAATAGACAATCTACTGAACTAGATTGACCAATGGTGAGATCTGATATAAGGCAGCTTCATTTCCTCTGGCCATAGTTATCCTCTAGATAACTTCCAACATCACACAACAACCCAAAGAAGTGAAGGCGACAAAATGCATGGGGAGTCTGGTACATATTCACTGTGCTTTGACCTACCCATCCACTGGGTACTAAAAAGTAGTTTCTGCTAAAATTATGATACTGAAATGAATGGTCATAATCAAAATCAACCAGGCTCAAATGCTATATAGTTACTGACAGAGCCATACCTAGGCTTCCTTGTGCCCTTGGCAAGGAGCTATATCAGCACCCTCACCCACCCCACATGTGCCCTTGGCAAGGAGAGGTATTGGTGCCTCTGAAGCCAGGAGAGACCAGAAACTCAAAAAGTTTGCGCTTTTTTCACCTTTCATGCTCTGCCAATGTCTTTCTCCATTGCTGCTCCCCTCCGCCTCTCTTCCTCCTCCTCCTCTGTTGGTCCATCTGTCTGAGCATGCAAACAGATGGGGGGGGGGGCCCTAGCCACTCCAAGCAAGAGTGGGGAGGTATGGTTTTTGAGCCATTGGTAGGAGCCAATTTGACCAACTTCTATGTATGCCCATGATTACTGATTGAGGCAAATGCAGACAAGAAGCCCAGAGCTGTAGAACACCACCCTCAAGTTGTAGACAGATGTATGTATACCTGTGTGAAATCGATATATGTGCAGAAGACAAAGTAAGCTTCCAGGGCTGTATTTATTTGAATGTGGTATACCTCTGCAGGCTTCACTGTAACATGATCTCTCAGAATTATGTGCTTCTGATTTGCATATCACTGAAACAATCTCTCCTTCATTCAAACCAGTGACTATGGATTTGAACGTCACAGCAATGGCCAGTGCTTGCCTGCATTTTGGTACAACCCATCCTCCTTGTCAAAAGACTGCAGTATTGGTCAGAGTTATCTCAACAGCACTGGGTGAGTTGTTTTCAGATCAGACTTACCAGAATCTAGTTGTTAATATTATTTGTGAATGGTTGTTAAGCTTTCCTCATGCTGTTCATCAGGTCTATTGCAGTGCAAGGCTTCAAATGTGGAGGGGCTTGCCAAGGGATCCTAAGACAGTCTAGCTACCGGTGATGCATATGACCCAGCCTTCCCTGCTGTGCCAGTCTAGAGCTGGCACAAAAGAAAGTCATATTTATCCTTCCTCTCTGGCTGACATTAGTGCCAGAGCTTTGGAAATGGTGGCATCTCTGCTTCTCCATTTATCCTCATTTTGTGTTAGGTTGTGTAAACACTATACCTTTAAAGCACATGAAAAGCAAACATACACCCCTCAAAGAGTTATGGGCACAGTAGTTTTTTTACGAGTTTCTGGCAATTTTAGCTCTGTGAGAGGTAAACTACAACTATTTCTTTGAGGGAATCTGCTTTGAATCTGCTTTTAAGTGTGCATGCTACCTATGCTGTTTTGTGATAAAATTCCTTATTATCGATTGCTGTCAGATTAACATTTAGTGTCATTAATGGTCTTATTTACTTTGGCTGCTTTATTATATCTGTGCATTCTTAATTTGTTGTGAATGGCTATGAGACTTTTTCTGTAAGAAGTGATGAAATAATAACAGTTGCTGTTACTGTTATGATTTGCTTAAACTAACTGGGATGTTGTGGCGGTGGTCTTGAAAAAGGATAAATAGTCTTAAGTAAGCAGCTTGCAGTGGTCCTTCCTTACACTGTTGTGTCTGCTTCCCGCTTTCAACAGGTATAGGAAGGTTGTATCTAATAACTGCACAGATGGTGTGCGTGAACAGTACACAGCCAAGCCTCAGCAGTGTCCTGGCAAAGCCCCACGAGGACTCCGAGTTGTCACTTCAGATGGCACATTGACATCAGAACAAGGGCACAATGTTACCTTCATGGTGCAGCTGGAGGAGGTATGTTGTCTTTCCCACATTTCCCACTGGGGCTTTTGAGTCTGAATCGTTTAGAAGAAAATGGATAGAAGTGAACACAATTAATTGGCCAGTGGGATTTAACTGATTAATGGCTTCATAAATATGAGCTGTGTATCTGGTCTACCATAAGCAGGGCTTTGTTAACTTCTGTAACCTTTGCTCACTTCCACTTTTGCCCTTCCCAATTCCTTGAAGGGTAGACCCGAAAGTGAAGTTACCTGGGCAAATATTGCCAAGCAAATGGCAAAGCCAGCATTTAGAGGATATGGAAAATGTACATTTCTGAAACAATGCATTCTGTCAACTACCATTTGTTACTTACACGAGGCATGGAGGACACCCAGTCTTGCTTAAGAAGTGCTGGTTGAGGATTAGTTTCCATGCTGAAACAGACAGTTATATTCTTCTTCAATCCCACATCTTAGTGATTTGAAAAGTCAGCACCTACTGGTGAAAAGACAATCAAGGGATAATAAAGACCCTGACATCCGTTCTATCAACCATTGAACTCAACATTATCAAATGCAAGTACTCATAGGATAGTTTTATGATAGGTGCATTTGCAAGATAGTAATGTGTGCGTTTGCAAGGAGTTAAGATGGGGCATTCACTCTGCAGAAATCTAGAGAAAACCTCACCCATCAGTTCCCATGTTTATACATATTTAAGAAATAGGTGCTACAAAACTGACTGCAGCATCTGAATCGAAGCAATTTACACAATATAAGATAGCATATAAGTATAGAGAGTATATTTGTGTTGAGATATGGAAAGTTTTTTGCTACCAATTTTCTTACTCCAAATCCAATCTAAATTTGGCTCAAGATGTGTGTGTGTGTGTGAGAGAGAGAGAGAGAGAGAGAGAGAGAGAAATTAGAATTCCTATGCTCTAGCTGTCTTAAAAACCAGTTAAGCACCATCTCTGCACTGGACTATGGGCTGAAAAAATTGAGTTAATCTGCATAAAGACCAGAAAAAGCAAATGTTTGAGAATTACATTCTGGAAGACAACAGAGGAGAAACAACCACTTCCTGTTGCAAAATCTGATTTAAAATATGTTTTAAACATCTGCAAGGATAAAGAGATAACAAGTCATTGCTTAACTGAAAGCTTCCAATTAAATGTGAAGCTTGGGACTAGATTTAAAAACATTTTGATTACATCTCATTGTTTAACACTTTGATTTACATGTAAGGCCCAGCACTTCATAGAAAAAAATCATGCTTGCAGCCTCTTGGGTGAGACTGAAATTGATTGTTTGAAGGTGTTGTCCTCATTAAGATGATTAAAATTAGCAGTATCATCTCCTCCCACATTGAAACTCCATGCATGACTTACACGTAATCAAGTTATAATCATATTCTATAAATGGGTCAGGCTGTTACTTTTGAATCCATAGGTGTAAATAATCTCAGAGACTGTGAGAAGAATTCAGGTATAAAATGCAGCTAATTATTTAACACCTTACTTGTTTATATAGCCATGGGTTAGGCATGTGCATCAGCTCTGTGTATACCCTGAATTACAAGGTGCATTCAAGGAAGGTTCTCATTTTACCTCATTAGATTGTTCTATTATCAAGATGCCTTGAGGTGTATCACTTCATTTTCAAGTGACTCTGTTTGGACCCGACTAAGGAAGCCCCACAGAGCTCAAGAGGGAAGGTGATGGAGAGCTGGGGGAGAGGATCTCTTACTTTGATGGATAGGGCTAGCTTTTAATCATAGTGAATTATTTCCTCGGGGCACTCCAAACACGTTGAGTTGATGGAAGGGTTGGAAACTGCTTAGAATCATAGAATCACAGAACTGGAGAGATAAAATGGACCCCAGGGTCATCTAGTCCAACTCTGTGCAATACAGGAATCTCAACTAAAGCATCCAAGACAGATGGCCGTTCAACCTCTGCTTAAATACTTCCAATGAAGGATAGTCCACCACCTCCCAAGGGAGTCCGGTCTACTGTCAAAAAGCTCTTACTATCATAAAGTTTTTCCTGATGTTAAGTTGGAATCTCCTTTCTTGTAACTTGACATCATTGGTTTGGGTCCTACCCTCTGGAGCACAAGAAAACAAGCTGACTCTATCTTCCATGTGACAACCCTTAGATACTTCAAGATAGCTATCATGGCTCCTCCCAGTCTCCTGTTTTTCCAGGCCAAACATACACAACTTCCTCAACCATTCCTCATAAGGCTTTATTTCAGGACCCTTGATCATTTTGGTCTCCCTTCTCTGCACACATTCCAGTTTGTCAATATCCTTCTTAAGTTGTGGTTTTCAGAACAGGACACACAGTTATTCCAGGTGTGGTCTGACTATGGCAGAATAGAGTGGGACTATTACTTCCCTTAAGGGATGCGGGTGGCGCTGTGGTCTAAACCACTAAGCCTCTTGGGCTTGCTGATCAGAAGGTCAGCAGTTCGAATCCCCATGACGGGGTGAGCTCCTGTTGCTCGGTCACAGCTCCTGCCAACCTAGCAGTTCAAATGCACGCCAAAAAAAAAGTGCAAGTAGATAAATAGGTACCACTCCAGTGGAAAGGTAAACAGCATTTCTGTGCACTGCTCTGGTTTCAGTGTTCCGTTGCACCAGAAGCGGCTTAGTCAAGCTGGCGCCAGGACCCAGAAAAACTGTCTGAGGACAAACGCCGGCTCCCTCGGCCTGTAAAGTGAGATGAGTGCCGCAACCCCAGAGTCGTCTGCTACTGGACTTAACTGTCAGGGGTCCTTTACCTTTATTACTTCCCTTGATCTGGATGCTGTGCTTCTTGTTGATGCAGCTCTCTCGTAGAGAGAGCACAGAACAATTCAGAAACAGATCATTTTTTTAAAAAGAAATATGCACGGATACAAGCAGCAGCAGGTGGCAGAACAGTACAGGCAGGACTGTGTTGCTGACCTGGCTTCCCAGTGCTGTTTACTGAGAGAGGGAGAGAGAGGGCAAAGCAGCAGGGAGCTTGGTGCAGTGCAGCCACAACAGCAAGAACGTCAGATTGTGCCCACTCCATGAAAAGCCCCCATTCAACTTGCCCCTCTCTGGATTACGTGCACTGCAGCAATCCAGGGTTTCAGACAGCAGTATTTCTATCAGGCAGGAGATGCCGGGGATTGAACTTGGTGCTTTTTGCACACAAAGCATGTGCTTTTCAGTATTAAGTATTTGGAGACTATTTGATAAATATTCAGGTACTTGGAGAATGTTTGAGCACTATTGGATGCCATAGAGGACCATCTTAAGGAGACTTTGGGGAAGAAATGATTAAGATACACTTAGAATCACAGCTTTGATGCATTGATGTAAAACCTGTGGGAGAAATGTGTTCCCTTTACTGCCTACCTTATTATCTGAGCTCAGCAGAGTCACAAAACTATTCAGTCTAGCACTACATTTGTCACTGTGATGAATGAAGGGGGGGGGAATGACAGATACAGATCAGTCTTTTGTAATTTCATGTACTGTAGAAATCCTCATTATGGGTGTCAGTTACACATACCTAGCGATATTCAATATTTACTGAGTTGCTCTTGTGCAGCTTTCTACACCCTACACTGTAATCTCCTGGACACCCTACACTGTGATTTAGTCAAACACCTGATTACAGAAGTGTTCTCAAGCCATTTGGACTTATGCTTTATGTTTGGACTGTGGTATAAGCACATCATGCAGAAATGCACTTCCTATGTATACAATACTGTGAAAGATGTTCTGACCAATTTATGGGATGCAGGGGAAAAAAGACCTGTGGGAAGCAACACAGGAACCTAGGAAAATGCGTTATACCAAGTCAAACTATTGTTTCATCTAGTTCCATATGATTTGACTCTTAACTGGCTGCCCAGGGTTTCAAGCAGGACTCTGTCCCACTATCTGGAAACAGCAGGTATTGAACCTGGAACCTCTCTTGTATGCAAATCAAGCGCTATACCACTGAACAACAACCTGTCCCCTATGCTGTGGAACTATGAAGTCAACTTTCAACACACTTAGAATTGTTAAGTTTTGGGGGTCTCTTTTTGCCCCTCTTCTTGTTTTTCTTTGCTGGCACAGAAAAAATCTGTCCTGCTCGTCACACTATTGCATAAAAGCTGCTTGCCCTGAAATACTGAAATTCTTAAATGCCAGCTTTTGAAACATGGCCTTTCAGAAATGTGTTAAATCCTGAACTACAGGTTGTGTATTCAGTTCAGGGACAGGTGGGAGGCATTTTCAGTTCAAAGGATTAAATAATTTTAACAGGAATGAACTGGAAAAAGCAAGGAAATTCATCTTGTGAAAGAGGCACTGGAAGCGTGGCAGCTGTAGGTCTCCTCTAATTAGACTGGAAGGAGGCACCTTTCTCAGCAGGAAGCCATGATGTGAATCAGAAGTCCACGTCCTGCTGAGCTCCAAAGTGATTTTCTGCTCCTTGGACAGCTGTAGACTCAGCATATTCTTTGGCCCACCAAAATTTATTAAAAGGGATTAAAAAGAAGAAGACATATTAGAAGCGACTCAGTATCTTTTTCTAAGTCCTTTTTATATTATGCCAAGGCTGCTATACCCATGTACACCTTGTGCTGGGAGCAAGTATCAGTGAACCCCGTGATGCCTACATCCATTGCTTTTTTTTTTCTAAAAAAAATGTTTAGAGGTACTCTTATTTTGACTTAAGAAAATCACCATTTTATAGTTCAAGTCAGGAAAACTAAATACAGTAAATGGACTAAAGTACAAAGATTCACAAAATGTTTAGGGGTATGTATACCCTTGCATCCTCCCAGAAAAAACACCACTGTCTGCATCTGAGTAGTCAAGAACAGTGTGAGGGTTGAAAACTTTTAAACCCACTTTGCTTTCTCCAGGTACCTTATTTACAAGATAAAAATGTGTTTTTGTGAGATGCTTTAAAAATGAAATGAAATAAAGTTTGCACACAGTTCTACCCATAACCCAACAAGAGACCGTTTGTACATTGTGTGACATCAATGTATTATTCTACATTTCCAGAATAATTTGGTACAGCAGAGGCATGACTTCTCTCTGAGAAAAAGCCTGAAATAAGAGTGCCATGAGCAGAAGCGAACTTTCTTTTTCACTGCTGATATCAGCAGTGCAAGGAAAGCTCTTGCTTGTCTGGAGTTGATGCCAGATGGTTTCTTGAAGGGTGTGAGGGACTTAGACGGCAAGCCTGTCTATGGTGGAATAAGCACCATTGAACACAGTGGGACTTAACTTCCAAATTAAACACGCATGGGCTTATTTAAAATGTCGTTACGAACAAACATTTATCTCACAGATATACACACATACACATACACATATATGTACACGCAGTCACTTTGTTGTAAAATTCCTAAATGAGATTTTGCATCTTTAGGGTTCTGACTTTTGTGGCATTCAAGCTGTCCTGTCATTCTGAGATCCATTTTTGAGATCTGACAGCATTGCAGAATGTCTCCCAGATACAGCAATCCACGAGGAAGTTTAGGCAGAGTAGCATTAAGTGTTTCTGTGGTTCACCAAAACCCAATTATTGTGGTGTGCCAAAACAGCTGCCTCCAATTTACTATCCCATTCGCAGGCAGAAAATTGGGAGCAGCAATTTTGGGAGTCATAATTCAACTCATGTTGTGAACCCCTGAAATGGTTTGGGGAGCAGAGAACAATTGTGCCAGGACTGGCAGTTTCTACTTTTGTGTTCTAATTCACTGATTTTGGCAGGGGCTCTTAAACAGAAAAAAGGCAAGAAGCCCCCTCCCCAGAATAACTTTGCCTACCCCAAGACAATTTCATTCTTTTCGTTTAGTTTTGCCTCAGTGGTTTTGTCAAAATCCCCCCCAACTAATTTTTGCTGAACCTGACGTAAGATTTTGACTGATCCCTATAAATGTAGATTCTTACTTGTACACCTGAATACCTTTCAAGGTGGCAAATATTCAAATTGCCCTGGATTCCATATCTATTTTATACTAATTATCCTCTCTACCTCTCTAATTTAGGGTGACATTCAAAGATCAATAATCCGTGTGGATTTTGGAGACGGCAGTGCTGTGTCGTACGCCAATCTAAGCTCCACAGAAGATGGGATCAAGCACGTCTACCAGAATGTGGGGATTTTCCGAGTAACAGCGCAGGTGGAAAACAGCCTGGGGGCAGACAGTGCTGTCATGTACTTGCATGTAAATTGTATGTTATTACATTGGTATATGAAATATTTTAAAGATTCTTTCTTTCTTTCTTCTTTCTTTCGTATACGTTTGTACTATGAAACCTGCTAAGAGAAGGAGTAGTTCACTTTTATATTAACATTTATTCTTTGGGAAGATGAAAGTGAAAGAGAAATGGATACCAAAAAAAATCAGCAGGACATCTTAATGCTGTGAGCAAATGGCCTCTCAAAATTCCCAAAATTTACCCTATCTGTGAGTAAAGTAACCGGAGACACAATTTCACTGAATTTCTCCAGGGAGGATGAAAATTCTCCACCTTTTTATCCAGGCTGGGGCTCACAGTTGTCAGTAGCACAACTTCCCTCAGATTGCCATTTGTTTTTTGTTGCTGCTGCAAGAACTGGCAGTAGCAACTGTGTTGGCAGCATGACCGCCATTTTGCCTCTTCCACAGTGCCCCAGACCTAGTATGATTCTTTAGTATAGCAGGAGGAGAGATGGCAACCACTTTGTGCTGTGCTTTCTCAATTTTGATTCCTCATGAAAAATTGGAAAGATTTGTTTATTAATGTATTTATATCCTGCTTCAGGCCTAGCACCAAACAGTGGGGGTTGCTGTCCTCTGGGACTGGTGGGTGAAGGAAAGAGTACGTAACATCAGGTGGAGCCAAAGTTAAGATCACAGTAGGCAGATCACACTTAACACTGAGGAACACTTGACACATGCAGACAGACCCACATAGAGAGTAGGGGAGGGAGAAAGAGCAAAGGTAGGGTCCGGTGGGGTGTGTGTGTGGAGAAGCTGACTGGTTGAAGGGTGGAGGGGAATAGTAAGGTTAGGGGCTGAGAGGAAATAGAGCTTGAAGGAACAATAGTGGAAGCTTGGAAGGAAGATGAAATAATGAGGTTAGATTGGGGGCAAAGAGAGCAATGTTCTAGACACTGGAAAGAGGCAAAATGAGAGGCACCAGTGTGAGTGCTGTCCATAACCAGGACCTGCAGGACATAGCTGACTTTCCACGATAAGCACACGGTTGTCAGGGGTGGTTATCTCTTCTATTTTGTTTTCAGTCACTCTCCCCATGACAGCCATTTTGTGTTTTGCCATGGCACCTCCATGGCAGCCATTTTGTGACGGCTAACCCCCCAGCACTCTCTCTCAAAATTCAAAAGGTGCCCACTAGCCTAAAATCATGGGCAACCCCTGGTCTACTTGAAAGCAGGTCCCACCCAGTTCAGTGGTACTTCTTTATTATTAGTGTGTAGAAGATTTCAGCCTTAGAAAGTAAAAAGGAATGGGAAAGGTAAAAGAAGGAATTGGCTTAGCGGGCTGAAAGGTGCAACAAGACATTTGATAGGTGGGTGTTGCCCTAGGCAACAAAGTCCCTGTGGGCTGTATACTAGTGAGCACAGGAAAGCCTTGCTGCAGAGGTGCCAACTTGTGAGGGAGATGGGGGGGGGCCCGGGAAGTTGAGCAAGTGCCACCCCCAATTTACATCAGGATGTTGGAGGAGCCAGGAACATGGTGGCAACATGGCTTCAGTGGCCAGTGGCTCCTCATCGCCCTCCTCCTCCTGCCTCTGCCATCAGCTGGGGCTTCTCCCCCCCTTCCCCTCCATGATAGGAGGAGGAGGAGCCACTGAAGCCACAGCACGCTCAGCTCCACGCTGGGCCCTGATTTTTGGGAATTTCTGCCCCTACCCTGTTCACATAATCAGTTTGCTCTCAGAGGATGGGATTTACAGAGTGTGCAAACAGGCCTTTGTTTATACTGGCCCATGAAAGAACTATAACACAATACTAAGCTTTAGTTTGAAGCTGTTGAAAATACCTAAGCTGATATATGCGGTGCTTTTTTTTTCTTTCTTAAAATATGTTTGGGGTACTCTCATTCTGAGGCAAGAAAGCCACCATTTTATAGTTCAAATCGGGGAAAATAAATACAGTAAATGGACAAAAGTACAAAGATTCACAAAATGTTTAGGGGTATGTGTATCCCTGTGTACCCCCCAGAAAAAAGCACTGCTTTTAAATGCAAAAGTTAAGATTTTATATAAAGAGCAAGCAGCCCATGGAACCTTGATAGAAAATTTACAAAGTTCTGTTGGGCAATCTTTACTTAAACAAATTATTTATTTATTTATATATATGTGAGTTTGTATTTATTTATATAAAGCAGTTCTCAGCATTATGCCACAAAAGCTAAACAAGGATACAGAAATGATTAAGATCAATATTTAAATATCAGCAACCAAAATAACCAAAATCAATATGAAAGAAATGAAATTGCCTTCTCAGCCTCTTATCTCTTCCCATCTTTATGAAAATGCCAGCGGGGTGGGGAGGCCAGGCCTTCTTTGTTTGTAAAGGTCACTGCAAACACACTTGAGTGCTGGTAATATCTCCAGAGAGGCTCTGGGGGTCTCTGATAACATAGGGCCATGCAATCTGCTACAATTTGACAGAAGATGATTCCGCAGGGGCCCATCTTCACTGTGCACTACTTTGTTTGCAAGCTAATGAGGCCACTTGATGGAGCAGCTATTTGCCTATGCAGGCCACAAGCTACAAAGGAAAAGTCGTTGTCTGGGTCATTCCTCTCTGGGAATGGGTTTCCCCACCACATAATTTGATCAACACAGTGTACAGCATTAGAATAGAATGCAAAAAAGTTACTGAGGCTCTCAGCAGGATCACAAGCGGCATAGCTTTTCATATTTTCCTCAGTGTTTCTAGAATCAAATTACTCAGCAGACTGAGTAATTGTGGCTCCCAGCAGTCTAAGGCAAGCAGGTACAGAGAATGGAGGTATTCAGTTATAGGGTAGAGAGGGCTAGTCTGTCCCTAGTGATCCTGAAAGCTGATTCCCATGATCAGTTGCATATGCTTTAAAGGTCAAGAAAGGGCAGTGTCTCTCTGGTTTTAAACTTTATACCTATGGTGAGAATGCTAAACATATATTTTTTTAAAAATAATAATAATAACGAAAACAAAGGATTAAAACAAATAAAATAAACGAATAGTTGCAAGCTGGTGTTCTAATACAAAATTAGTCCAGAAGAATCTACTAAATAAACAAACCAGGAGCCTTGTAAATGTAGAGAGACTTTCTGTAAAACCATAACAAGAATGCAGAAGAAATTTGATTCAGTTTGCATTTGAAATCTATCCAATTCCCACTGTGAGAACTGAAACACAGCCATCCTTCAAAATTTGCACTTATCACAATTCTGTGATGCAGTTTTCGAGCCTAGCAATGTTTACAAAAATGCATATATTACAGAAAAATCTGCATAAATGTGAAGCCATTAGTGAAACTAACATAAACATGTACTATATTAGTGAAAATTACTTGCAACAATGTATCCATTAATCAAAATTGCATATGAAACTGTGTCTGCCATCTGTGAGCAGAAATTCATACTAAAAAGCTGGTGGATTTTCATGAGGATTCTTCTCATTATTTTAAACCACACAAATTGCCTGCAAAATGAGGAGAAATGAATTTAAGACTAGAAAAATGAGAAACAGAGAGAACCAAAATGGATTGGTGCTTCTATTTATAACCGTTGCTCATAGACATTAGAGCACATAGGAAGCTGCCTTATACTGGGTCTTTGTAGTAATATTATTATTGTTATTAATTTATTTATACCCCGCTCATCCGGCTGGGTTTCCCCAGCCACTCTAGGCGGCTCCCAACAGATTAAAAACAGAATAAAACATCAAACATTAAAAGCTTCCCTAAACAGGGCTGCCTTCAGATGTCAGATAGTTGTTTATTTCCTTGACATCTGATGGGAGGGCGCCACCACTGAGAAGGCCCTCTGCCTGGTAAGTATTTCAAGGCAGAGATCTCAGGTGGAGATCTCTCCCATCACCTGCAACCTGATGTGGGATCTTCTACATGCAAGGCATATCAATTCCTCTATATGCAAAGCTCTACCATGGAGCTACAGTTTCCCCTCTGCCCAAAAGAGCTGCACTTGGGACTTGAACCAACAGATGCACGAGAACATACACACTAGAGACGTTTGCCTCCATAGCCTGGATGGTTGTAGGACCAGTGACAGTGGCATGCTGGGAATGACAGGGCTAGCTAGCATGTCCCTAGTTTGCTCACTGTATGGGGGGGGGGTGAGCACACTAATGCCTCATACACAGAGTGAGGAAAACAGGATATACCAATTCCATGAACATGAATGGTCCTTGTGGAGGCAAACCCTATATTTTTAGGATGGCTTGAAAAGTTTTAAATAACAATTGACCCCAAGATCATAAAAGGTTGTCCAACTCTGCAAGAAAAAGTAATGTGTATTTTTATTGCTCTCAATATCGTGTAGATAGGAGTACAACACCACCTGCTGTTCCAAAGCTGCATTTTCAAAGCTGCATTTTTTTGTTTTCTAACACACTGATTTCAGAAGTTAATCATAATTACCCGCTTTGGTGATTTAAAACACACACACACACACACACACACACACACACACACACACAAAGCTGCTCAGCTCTCAAAGTAGAATCTATGTTCTACTCATGATTCTTCATAAGTCACTTTTGTGAACTGTTCCTAACCGGGCAGCAATAAAGCTACTAGCACATTTGCAAAGCTAAGCATGGTCTGGTAGGGTTTCAAGCTGGGTGGGGCAATGTGTTGAGATTCCTGCATTGCTGAGGGTTAGACTAGATGACCCTCGTTGTCCCTCCCAACTCTATTTTCCTATGATTCTGTAATATTCAGAATGTGCCTGCTTCAATTAGAACTAAATGGCTGAGTTTGTTCAGCCTATTACATTGGATGAAACCAAAATACTGGATGTTAACCAGAGTACTCAAGGCCAAGTTTGGATAATTAATTAATAATAGCTTAATAAATATTTGATTCCATTGCACAAACACCGATTGCTCTGACTGCATGTAATGAAAGAGGTCTCCTGGTTAGGCCAATATTGTATCTATCTGGCATAACACATATTACATCTGGTGAACAACTTTTCAAATTTCCAGTTCAGATATCCATTTTCCATTATGTGCACTTATTGCAGGAAACTTGGCCTCACATGTGGAGGGTCCCCACCCCTCTTCTTAAGTGAAAATGTGTGTAACAAACAATCTACATGTACTGCCACTTCCAAGAAACATTCCATGCATGTACAATATAAATAATATAATCAAACATTAAGCAGGCTTGTATAATAGTTTAGAGCTGATTACACCAGTTAGGTGAGGAGACCTGAATCCAGTTAAGTAACACTCAGGGCAGACATATTGAAATCAATGGACATGATGAACTAAAGTCCATTGATTTTGATGCGTGAGTATGACTTACTGTAGTTGGAAATACAACCCTGAATATCCAACATTCTTAACAGATGTTGCCATTTTGCACATTAGAGCTTTAATAAAAAGGTTTCTAATGAAGATAGGAAGTGACACCAATATATTGTTTCTGCTTCATTTTGTTCAGCTCCTAAAAGTTCAGAAGACAGAACTGGTCCCCATCTCCCAACTCTACTGCCATGAATTTTCATGTATAATGCTAGTAAGCAGAACCTAGATAGTTAAAAGAGAGTAGTAATGGGTAGGGATGGGTGAGAAATTCATTTCAGTTTGCATCTGAAGCCAAATCTATCAAATTTGTATTTTTTTTTAAAAAAAAACACAGTATGTGAACAAAAACACAAGCATCCTTTAAAATTTGCACTTGTCTAAATGTTGCAATGCACCTAATGCAGCCAAGCATTGCTCACAAAAATGCATCTATTAGGAAGAAATATGTGTAAAATGAATACATTCATGAAATAACATGCTAATATGCATTATATTAGAAGCAATTGCTTGCAAAAATGTGTGCTTTAATCAAAACTGCATGCAAAAGGTATCAGGAGAAATTCACTCTGAAAGGTTGAAGAATTTCCATGAAATTGCTTAAGAAATGTGGAGAACTGATTTAAGACTGGAAAAAAATGAGTAATTAAGAGAGAACCTAAATTGACAGATCCTTCCATCCCTAGTCATGGGTAGCTTGTGGTCATTTCCTCCTCATTGTATTGTGTGAACACCTACAAGTAGTCGCATTTCTAAAGATAGGATAAAGCAGCAGCTGTCCATCATTCCCACCAGTACCAACAGAGACCTTTTCTCTTGAAGCTATGCAAAGGTGTAGTTTTGGTGGGATCCCAGTGCCATGTCCAGATAAGTCCTGACATGAACAAAAGTCAAGAGGTATAAAAAAAATCCACACTGGGTTCCTCGGTAAGATGTAGATGGAATAACAATAATGGAAAGAAATCGAATTTCATTGGGAGCTTAGGAAGCTACCTAATACTGAGTCCCACCATCAGCCCATATAGCTCAGCATTGTCTCTACAATTACTGCTGGTGACTTTCCTGGGTTTCAGGCTGGGGTATTCCCAGTCCTACATAGAGATGCCAGGGTTTGAACCTGGGATTTTCTGCATCCAAAATGTTCCATCTCATTTGGATTGGTTCTGCATGTTTGCTTGTTTTAATTTGATTTTTTAATTTGTATTTTTTTATTATTATAACCTGCCCTGTGACCTTATGGTGAAAGGCGTGTAAGGAATCTTTGAAGGAAATAAGTGCTCCACCACTGAGCTACAGCCTTTCTCTTAATTGTGCTGTAGGGTGCTACACCTTCGTCCGTATTGTGTATGGATATTTTGTAATAGAAATAAAGGGATGTGGTAATAAGCCTCAACCTTGAGAATGCTTGCAGGAAAACAACAGCTATGATACCATTCCACCACTCAAAATATAACCTATGTGGGGAGAAGACTCTTACCTTGTTATACTTGGTGGGAAAACTTGTTTTCTCTGGGTATTGTTGCATTTCTTTCCTTTCCTCCTTCTCTTTATTTTCAAAATAAATTGTTCCAAATGAGAGACAGAGGGCAGTAGGGCCAAGTATAAATCTATTCTTTCCCTGATATTTTGCAAATTCTCTTTGCATAAAAAAAGGAGACTAGATTTGTGAAGAAGTTATGAAATACTTTGGAACGGATCATTGCTAGAAATAGATATTTCTGCTGTTGACCTACAACACTCTTCCTATCAATCTGTAAGGGCCCCCCGCCCCCGCCCCCTGTTAATGCAATATATTCCCAAGAAAAAGCAACACCCCTGTATTAACTCAGCCAATTACCACTTAATGTCTCCTGAGGATATGGCCATCTATATTTGTTTGGTTGGCTTCTGCATAGCAAAGATTTTGCTCATTATCTTTACCATTTGCAAGTTGCTCCTCTGAAATCTTTATCCAGAATTGTCATGGTGCCACTTCTCCCAGATACAGTTGGTTTATAATTAGAATCAAATAATTAAATTTAATTATCCAGATCCAAACAATTCAATAAGCAATCGTGTCAGTACACATATCTTGTGTTTCTGATCATTCAGAACACCAGATAAATGTACGGTGATAGTTTGCCTAAGCTGCATTTGGAGTTTGGAGGCTTGAGTCCATGTTGTACATTGGATTGTTTGCAGGTATATGTTTTAAAACAAGCAGACTATTACTTGCTGAAGCACTTAGGTTTGAGTGAAAGGGTGGTCTATTTGTCACAGTGCAACAAAAGTTACAGCTCTCATATTCAGTTGGGTAGCACCCATGCATGGTCTGATGCTAAGGGGTTTTAAAGCCCTGCTTACCAGGACGCTATAACAGGTTGTGGTGAAATTGGGGGTCTTCTGTAAAATAGTACTTGTTTTGCTAATATGCTTTGGACTGTCATAGTGAGAGCAATCTGTTTTTATTTGCTGCTGACATCAGATAATGTCCTTTTCATCCTAATTAGCCACTTTTAATCCTATAAATTGCCCATGTAATGTGTTATTGAGAAAAGAATACTCACAAAATCTGGAGAACTGCACTCCTTTGGGTGTGGGCTTGTGTTTGAGATTGATACTCAATCAGAAAGCATAACACTGCAAGCTGCCTTAGCATTCCCAACCTAATCATAGACTGTGCTACAGCATCCACAAAATCTGATAATCACCCGTAATCTGGTAAATGTGGTGGGAAAAAATAGCATGGGCTGACAAGGTCAAACTCCATCAGCATTCTTCAGCTCACCTTAAGGATAGCTATACTGAGCAGGGTTGTTCTACATATGGCAACGTTCCTGCATGAAAGTCACTTCTGGGTTAGAGTATGAATCCCATCTCTACTGCGTTGTGTATAATTATCTTCTATGTATACTAAAAGCACTATGTATACACAGCACTAGGAAGCTGTGACTGACCATGGCTTCCCAGAGTCAGTGAATAAATAATATGGAGGCTGTGGAAGCCTTATAACTGAGTCTTATATTTATTTCCTCAGAAATAAGTCCCACTGGGGCTTCCTCTCAAATAAGTTCACACAGGATGGCAACCGGTGTTGAAATAAGAATTTGTGGGAAGTAGTCTGCAGCCCTTACTGAAACCAAGGGTGGGGTCAAAGACAATCATAGAGTGTTAATGCATAAAACTAGACTCATCTACACTTTCCCGCATTCTCTCTTGTTTCCAGGTCCTTTGGAACATGTCCATTTATCGTTGCCCTTTGTGACAACAAAGAACAAAGAAGTTAATGCCACGGCAGTCCTGTGGCCCAGTCAAGTTGGAACACTGACTTATATCTGGTGGTTTGGAAATAACACCGAGGTTTGTATTTCATGGAGATAAATTAATTGTTAAATTGTGACATAATAACATTATCACGGGGCTTGCGATTTCTCTCAGGGAACAGCTTACAGGGCCCTGCAAATCACAGAGAGCAACTCTCAGCACTTTTATGTTGCAAATCAGCTTTTTTTTTTTAAACTTGCTTAACTGTCTCTGTTTAGGCCTAATTTGCATCTTATGCAAATCACTAATCCCCCATTGGACACGGCTGAAGAGATCAAACTGAGAAAACTGCAGAGTGACAGATTATCAAAGATTCCAAGATTTGGGGCTTTTTTCCTTTCCTTATGTAAAATGCAAGCTCTTTTTAAAAAAAACCAAAAAAAACCCCCTCATGTTACAAACCCAGACTTCAGAGATAAAGTTCTGAGTTCGGCTGATGATGTCTCTGCACTGCTCCAGGGTTTGAAACTGTATTTTACAGTGTGTTGTGCTCTGTAGCACTAGTAAAAAGGAATGTTTGCCGAGAGTCCCAACTCCTACTCTTTTCATAATGCTAAACCTATACGAAGTTCTCATTTGTGCTGTTAAGCTGCAAGAATGCCTCATTACCACATTCCAAGAGAAGTGAAATGACATGTAGTACATTTCCCTGCCTACGGACAGTAGTTAGCATAAAACAGTATGCCAAAATAACCCACTACCCACCCTCATTTGTTCACTGGGGGGAGAAAAATCTTTAATCGGTGCCTGATAAATTGTGTTGCTAGACTCATCTAAGGCTACTTTGAATTTCAATAGGAAGTTAGGAGAGCTCACACTAGCAGGAGGTAGTTGACAGGGTGGTAGGGCAGCGACATTCAACTAACCTCCCAAAAGTTTAGTCCCGGCTGTTTAGGGTGGTGGCAACTGCTAGCATGACTGAATAATTTTTCATATATCCAGGGGGTCAGTTCAGGTGTAACACAGATATGCAGTGTGTTTCTCTTATCTCAGTTTCCTTTATATACGACACCTCTTGCCACATAAATGGCTGTAAATTTTAAATCTGCTGCCTTTTTGCCTGCTCTTATTTGTCGGACTATTTAACCTACCCTGGGTTCGCCCAATGAAGGGCAAGCTACAAAATATACTTAATAAATACTAATAAATAAGTCGTGGTGACAAGAGGGAGACTTGCACTGCATAAAATTTCTGGCGGCGGCCTTTGTGAAATTAGGCCAGTCTATGAAACTGCCTGCTAGTTCCAGTTCCCTTGCTTGCTACTGCGTATCTGATGCTTTGTCTCTGGTGCAAGGCAAGATATATAGGCTCAAATGAGGTGTCTGATACAAGCTGTTACCAGTGGGATTGGAAACTGTCACATCTTGGTGTGCTATGGAGTGGCCATTGTGCTGCTTTCTTTTGGATACTATTGCCGTGGCAACAGCCAGGTAGCGGTGCTTACACATGGGGTAGAAATGGTGCAGAAACCAGGAGTGGTAGGTCTCGAAGATGAAAGAGAAAGTAAAGGAAACTCAAGTATTAAGAGGACAGTAGCTACTACAGAATCCCCTGCATTGATGCAACTAAGTTACACGTTTTATTAGTGGCTGCCGCTAGCACAATAGTATCTCAAAAGCAAAGTAGTTTGTATTGTGTCAAGCTTTAATACTTGGTTGCCAATACAGTATCTCGTGAGCCAAAGGACTTCGGTTGTATAAGTGGGGTAGTTGATGTAACAAGGACATTGTTGCAGGAAACCATGGCAGTTCTCAGTTGGTAGGTGGCAAACATAATGCACCATTCTAATGAATTCACTTACAGAATATGATTTAAGATGTATGATGAATTGTTAATTGAGCAAAGATGGGTAAGCTCAGGCTTCTGGTCTTTCTTCATGGCCCTTTGGACCCCCACTACAGAATGCAGCCCTAAGGCTGCAAAAGGTTCCCCACTACATTTTAGAGTGACATATGAAAGGGTAATCCATTTTTGTCTTTTTTGCTTTTTCTATTTGTTTATTTTTTCTTGAAATAATGTAATAATAATAATAATAATAATAATAATAATAATTTATACCCCACCCATCTGGCTGGGTTTCCCCAGCCACTCTGGGCAGCTTCCAACATAATATTAAAATACAATAGTCCGTCAAACATTAAAAGCTGCCCTAAACAGGGCTGCCTTCAGATGTCTTCTAAAAGTCTGGTAGTTGTTTTTCTCTTTGACATCTGGTGGGAGGGCATTCCACAGGGTGGGTGCCACTACGGAGAAGGCCCTTTGCCTGGTTCCCTGTAACTTGGCTTCTCGCAGTGAGGGAACTGCCAGAAGGCCCTCGGCACTGGACCTCAGTGTCCGGGCAGAACGATGGGGGTGGAGACCCTCCTTAAGGTCTTCTCCCTCTTTTCTGTTCCAACTTTTACATTCCCTTATATTTTTCCCTTTGTTCATGCCACCTGTGAGGACACATTCCTCATGCTTGTATCCAGGATCTTACTGCATAAACCTTGAATTATTTGTCCCTGATTGAAAGCCAGAAATCTGCAGCACTTTTGCCACCAGCTGAACTGATTGTTCTTAAGCACTTTTGCAGAGGCTTCATTAACTCTTATTTTTATATCCATTCACATCCAGTGATAATCTTGACCTGTACTGCCCTTTGATAAGATGGAAATACGCGTTATCTTTGTCTCTATGTTACTGTGAGGATAGGTAATAAAAGGATCCTCATGTAAAATAACTTCATGCATGTGTTAGGGGCTGCAGTGTTAAGGGTTATTTTTCTCAAGATCAGCAACAGTACCAAAATCTGTCCCCATCATAACCACTGATATCTAAAATGGTTCAATGGAAGAGTTTCCTTCTCATATTTTGAAATATGAGAATTGGCTGGTTATTTTGGGAGGCGTTTGTCCACCTGTATGCTGACTGTCTTGAGTCACCTGAGTTAATCTACAGAGTCATACTCCTAGCTCATCTGTTTTCTTCTTGGTGTACTCTGTGGTCTGGATTGTG